GGTGGCTCGGGGTCGACGGAACCACCTTAATCTAACCATTATGGTTTATGGTGGCTTAGGGGTCGACGGAACCAACTTAACCTAACCATGATGGTTTATGGTGGCTCGGGGTCGACGGAACCATCTTAATCTAACCATTAGGGTTTACGGTGGCTAGGGGTCGACGGAACCAACTTAACCTAACCAACATGGGCTTCCAATGCATGATATAACATAACCATATAATATTCCAGTGCTAACATAACCATCAAATAGTCTTCCAATGCTAACATAATCATCTAATATAAAAATATAAAACCTATTGCAAGAGAAATCATAACTTTTAGTCTACATCTCATGGCACAGAATATCTGATCCATCTTCCAATGCATGATATATCATCATTTCAAGTCTAGCCAACATAACACACAATACTTACTGGAGTTCAACATATTATAGGGTACACAGCAGGTCCATCACAAATACATAGTGGAGTTTGAGTTTAAATGCATAGTTCATCCTTTTCTCACAAAAGGATGAAAAGCATATCTACTACATACATACACAGACATAGTTCACAATTAGTAGAGCCATACACTACACAACCATCATGCCCAAAAGGTCAGCATTACCCACTAGTCTCATATTCATTTTCTTCACTTCTCTAAGATGGCCTGGATCCCCTTGATCTTCTCCTTCAGCTTCTCCTCTGCCTTCATCAGCTCAGCAATCTGAAGCTTCAACTCTAGCTTCTCTTGGGTGAGCTTCTCCTCAGACTTTGTGAGCTCTGCATTCTTCAACTCCAAGTTCATCTTATCTTCACTAAACAATTGCTTGTCTTTGATATGCTTCAACTTCAAGTTCTGGATGACTGTTGCTTGTGCTCTTGTCAGGTTCAGTAGCACTTCATAATTCTGCTTAAGCTTCTCAAACTCTGCATCTTTCTTTGCCATCTGTGCCTTCATATCAGCCAGCAGTGCACTTCTGCATTGCTGCTGATATGTAAGGTTATCCTGCAGATATCTGAAATCCACCACCCTGTCCTCCTGGAAGCTCATAAGTTCATGCACATCTTGGACTAACTTGTCATAGTTGGCCTCCAGCTTGTTCTTCTCTTCTGTCAGATGGTGGATAGTGAAAGAACTTTCAAGATTATCATTCACCCTAGCACTCTTGCTATCTTCAACCATGGCCCACAGCTTCAACAATGCATTTTGCATTGTTGGGGGCCACTGGTGATCAACCCATTCAACAAACCCACAATTCTGCCCTTCCTGCAAAAAGGCAAAAAGATAAAAAAAATAAACATGTTACTTCAGAAGCACAGGTAAATAACTAGTGCAAAGCAATAACACTGTACATTGGTAATAATAGCACCACTAAGCTACACTAGTAATTGAGATGTACCTACCCACTAAATAACAGCATGACAAATTACAGCACCACTCAGCTACAGCTTTGAACTAGATTTTGCTAATCGCTACAAAACAAGAGAGAGCAATCTCTAACTGCAAATTTGGTGAACTGCCAAAGCATATGCAGTACATACTATCCACCTAGATACTGTCAAACCAACAATAATATGACACTATCAACCTATATATGAATATGCCCTTAATAATCAGGCCTTGTACTCATGTTCACTCATGTTCAATATGGCACTGTCAAACCAACAATAATATGACACTATCAACCTATATATAATATCCCACTATCAGCATAGAATTCATACCGGCTCTGCACATGCTAGGAACCTTCTCCCTGTGTCTGTTCCTTCAAATGCGACAAGCCTCTCAGATGCCTTGCCGTGCTTCTCACATGGCGACATCGTTTCCAGCTCAAGCCCCTGGTAATCTGGATCTTCAACGCTGAAAGGGACCTGCCGAAGCTCGTACAATCAAAATGCCCAAATCAAAACCCAGCGAAATCAACCAAATCAAAAAGCCCCAAATCTGAAACCCTGACCCTAGACCTAGCTCAAGGAAAATCACCTGGTTAAGCCCGTCCGTGGATGAGGTCGAGTGCATGTACGGCAGGCTGGACGTGTCCTCACTGCTTTCGTCTTCGAAAACCATGGCGGGCGGCGGCGCTCCGCTCCGGCAAAGCTGCCGGCGGTGACGAGGGCGACGAGAGAGGAGCAAGGAGGGAGGCAGGAGCGAGGAGGAATAGAGTGGAGCACGGGCCGGTCCCGTTCGAGCCGGACCGCACCTATTGAGCGAGCGGGCGAGTGCCGATTCGCCAGCGTGGCATCTGACGCGCGGGCCCGGGCGGTCAGTTCCAGCGTCAATACGTACAAATACGAAGTTTAGCCCGATTTGCAACGGTTCGGTCCAAACGTGGTACTGACACGTAAAAATTTTCAAAACGAGTACCAATTCGCCACCACGGCCCCAATTGTGGTACTATCGTGTAATTAACTCTGTGCCCATCGACGACACTAACCCCAAGCTTTCTTGGAAAGTCGGCGAGGAGAAGCTGTTCAGCCAGGATCCAGCTGAGAGGCATGTAAGCGCCACCCTCATCTACATAGGAAGTGAGAGCGAACCCAGCAAATTCTGCCTCGTACAGTGTGTTTTCATTGAGGGCGACAGCACTGCTGGTCAGGAGCTCAAGGTTGAGGGCGACAGCAGCGCTGATCAGGAGCTCAAGATTGAGGGTGACAGCGCCGGTCAGGAGCGCAAGGAGAAGGGACGCTTTCTGTATCGCTTGACCACATTCTGTCTCTATCCTGACTCCATTGGAGGCCTGACGACCGGCAATAGCCGTCGGGTACAATACTATGAAGTGCCTGAAGGAACGTCTCAGCAATTCCTCGCTGAAGATCCCGTGGCATTTGGAATGTAAAATTCTAAAATCATGTCATGAAAGGAGTTCCTGTGTTTAATTTTCACTTGGTTGTGACTGTTGCCTTTCTATGTTTTAGTAATGTGTTCACTCATACTGCGATTCAGTTAATGTATTGCCGTCATATGTCCTAATGTGTATGAGCTCAAATGCTCAATGCATGTTCAACACTTATTTTTTCTTCGGCACAAAGCTTAATAAGTTGCAAACAGGCAGTGTTGGGGATGCTGCTTCAGTCGGCCGGTTTGTTCCTCCTATCAGAATATGTGCCACTGCGCAAACAAAAAAAAAAGAATATGTGCGTTATCTGAATTTATGCAGGAGGTTGACCATGAAAGCTGTCGGATGACATAGCTTTAGACTTGAAAAGAAATAGGACGCTAGGCCTCCATACATTGTAATAAAGCTGTTAACATCCAAGCATTTGTTGAGTGTCTCAGAAGCAAAAATCGTAACAATACTTCCTCATGTACTTTTCTTCCGTCATGGGCATGCAATGCATGGAGCAATTTTTGCAGAACCGGTCCCTGCAGGGAACCAATAAACACAGGGCTTTTGGCTTGTTCGGTTAACACTCCAAGGGAAAATACATCAAACCTGAACAGTGGAAGCATCAACGATATACACCAAACCTGAACTATCCCCTCATGAGGTTGACAAAGTTTTAACTAGAATCACAAAAGGAAGTATCAGCGTATATGCAAGTCAGCCTCCTCTCGACCAGTATCAGCTCTAGAATGCTCAGCATTTCATACATAAACCACCATCTTTTGGAAGTTTCGGGTAAAAAATTCAGAAGAAACATCTCTTCCTTGAGCTCGCCGGCGCCAGTCAGATCCGGTCAATATTTCATACATAAACCACTATATATCTTTGGAGGTTTCGGGTCAAAAATTCGGAGAGATGCCAGTTGCGCCCCCACCCCCTGTCACCTTGCTCCAACCCTCCACCCCCATCCTCCCTTGATCTGGACGTCTAGAGCTCCAAATAGTGGAGGCTTCGCTGAAGCCAGACGCGACTGGGCCAGCCCATTCTGTCCGTGAGCGGTTTTCCATTTGTTTTTCGTTTTTTTAGTTGACTAGCAAAAGGGCCCGTGCGTTGCAACGGGAGAAAAAATAATCATAAGCTTCAATGGCGACGACCACATTTTGTTCACATCTCATCGCATGATTTTGAAATTTGTTCACAAATGCAAGAAATTTTTATTTTTTATAAATATATTCACAAATTGAAGCAATGGTCACATTTTCAAAAAAGTATCATGGTTGTCAAAAAAATTGGTAATTCAAAGAATTATTCTAAATTTCAAGGAACTTTTTTTAAAACATACTATAATATTCCAATCCACCCCAACAGTTAATTCTTCAAAATTCACGCGGGTATATTCACGAAGACTCAGAAGCATTACTGTTTAACAACATACCTTCGATCATTTATGAAGATTTTTGCAATTTTGTGAACATTTTTTACTCTTTACAAATATTCTTTTAAAAATTGTGACATTTTTTTATATTTGAACTGTTTTAAAGCATTTTCTTTTTAATCGGAGAACAATTCCAGAATAGATAAACATTTTTTTCGAAATTGGTGGATTTATTTTGAATTTCACATACATTTTATGAATCAATAAACTCTTTTGTAATTCATGAACTGTTTTTAAAATTTTATGATGTTTTTTAAAATGCATGAATTTTTTAAATTAGCAAACATTTTGGTCAATTTCATCAATAATTTTTAATACACGGGATTTTATTCAAAATCGTGGACTTTTTTATTTTATGAACTTTTTTTTCAAAATTGCGAACATTTTTTAGACACATGAGCCGGAGCAAACAGGCACTCAGTGTCTTCTCCAGCGCGCAACAACGTATTACCACTACATTAATAATGAGTTAATGACGATTTTCAAAAAACAACATATCATTCAAATGTCTCATTTCGTTTATTTGCCACTATTTCTTTGCTTTGTTACTTTCTCTTCATGTCCTAGTCTTACCTTCTCCAGACAATAACTTGGAGTTAATAATATGTCATTTTCCAAACAAAACAAGAAACAGAGAAAAAAAAACACAAGGAGAGCCTTGCCATATCTGATGCACAAAATAGAGTGGTTCACATTCAAGTATTTATTTGTTCACTGCATTACCAATAAAAGATCGCACATCAATGTTTTTTATGCTTACTTAAAACTAACCGACTCATTAAGCATATTGGCCTCGACACGAGAAACGCGTAGTTACGAAGTTACGCCGTGGAAAATTAACAAGGAGTATAATCTTGTTACTGAATTTAGACATACAAAAACGGGGGAGAAGTAACACGATATATCCCCTTGCCACAAAGCAGATGATCTTCCGTCTAGAAAAAGAGAGTACCTTCCCCTCACTAAACAATATACCACTGTAAAAAGGCAGAGTATCCTCATTTGCTTACAAACCAGCCATACCCAAGCACAGGAAATTTGACAAACTTTCAGCCTTTGATTTGCCCTCAGTGCAACGCACACCTCCAGTCCACTCGCCTCTATCAATAGGGCGTCATCTCTATGAATTTCCATCTCCAGCAAAAGCACTATTTAATAACAAAATTATCAATGGCCATGTTATCACTCTAAAACATATGCACATGTATACTGCTATACAAAGATTATATACACGATTTCTCTCTTTATCAGGTAGGTGCCTTGGATTATATCGCATCTTGCAAATAAATGCTCAACGCACAGCAAACCAATGGAATGGAGACAATGCTCCTGGCAGGCAACCTTTGATGTACATATATATCATTAGATTAGTACTTAATGGAAAAAACTTTCAACCTCACTATTTTTAGCATATTTCAGTTCTCTTAAAATTGTTTCTTGGCCTGATGCCGATGCTTATCATAATTACCTTCATTCGTGAGAAACAACTATAAAAAAATACCAGCTGGCTAGATCAAGCACAGTCAATAGTTCCGTATGGTACAAGGCAATAGAACATTTACATCTGGATTTGAATATGAAAAATATGACTACTGATAATAAAAGAAAAATATATCATCCTCACCTGCCATAAATTAGTTAATGCGCGGATGGCTGGCGACATATTTGGCCCTGTAGTTGGTAACCGCAACGCAACAACTTTCCGCTGCCTGCATTCCCTGCACTTGCCCATCTCTGTGTCACGATCATGCTCCTCGCCCTTGTTGCTGCCACCCCAAAATTCAGAAACAGTAGACGCCTACAATGCAAAATTCAGTCCGTTTGAAGTCACAAGGAACTAAGGAACTTGGCCGGCTTCTTTGTGATGATACGAAGCATCCAGCGTCATCACCGCATATGTGTAGACGAAAAAACAATTTGAAGTTTTTACCTCGTAATTAGAAGGCACATGTTGTGCACATATAAATGTCTGAACTCTGAAGTATGAAGCAGCATTGAATTCAGTGAATCCCATAATACTGGACACTGGACTATTTCAATCCATAGCACGAAAAGTCCTAGCGCGGCATAAAAAATCCTTTCCCTGACTGGAAAAGTGCTCAACGTCGATGACATGTTGTCCCTAAACTCGTCGAGTTGTCTCCATTTTGTTTCTTTTATGTTCAGCCTCATGCAGATTCGTGTTGCCTCGTTGACATCTGATTCATGGAGGAGAAGGACTCGGTGCTTGTTTTTTAGACCTGCAGATCATAAATAAATGATTGTAAGAACATTACTGAATCTCAAGTGTGAATGAGCTAGTCCCTTACGCTTCATATATACACATGACTGAATCCTGACGACTCATGACTATGATACTGACGCTCCACAGTCCATACACAAATTTCACTTGCAACCCGGTGATCAACCATGAAGAGATCATAGAATAATTTCATCTTCTACTTAAGTACAGTCACAAGTCTGGACCATGGAGTGTGTGTTCTCCACGAATAGCCCAAGGACTAAATTAAACTGATGAAATAGAAGCTTCTTGTCATTCAATCAATCATAGTACTGTTGTGAAATTTTTACCAGATGTGGCGGCCATACCCTGAGGTGTCGATGACAGATTGACACTGTTCGCCTCCTTGATCGGCCATGAGGGGAGATAAACAAGGCCGGCCTCCGTCGATTGCAGCCTGGAGAGCCAAGTTCGGGGAAGCCTGGGACTCGGCATCTGCATCCATTAAAAGCAGCTAGTACAACTATTTTTATTTTTGTCGCACTTTGAAGTCTGAACTAAAATTCAGACTGCACAAAGCTACGATCAATGTCAGAAAATATCAATGTTATGTTCTTCTGGTAACCATCAGCTTACAATACTACATGCTGATAACTTTGAACTTAGAATTGAACTTCTATTTTAGGCAGAGATGCCCAACAAACACATCGAATGTTTAACCAACTTTTTGGCTGGAACAAACAAATATCATGTACTGATATTGACTCAGGCAAAATAACATTGGAGAAGCTGAGCCAACTTTTTGGCTAGAGCAAACAAATAAAAAAAAGTTAGGCTAGCTATGTTCATCACCTTTATTCCACTACTTGCTCTGAACTCTTCATGTTCAGTAGAAAATATTATGCTACAAAATTTGGGGGAAAATCTTCAGCTTAAAATCGAGCGATATATTGGCAACTAATTAATCCAGTTATGTGGACTGAACAAATATTTAGACTTTCTACAATTGATCCTACATCCTACATTCAATTTATACCAGCTACAATACGAATATGACGCATGGAGCTACTTGCTATAGGCTCTTCTCACTGAATGCAAATACATGATTTCTCATCATCACCAACAACAAATATCTACATTGGGTTTCTATATGTATGCAAGCTTCGTGAATTGCTAAAGTTTAATAAATTGTACAGGAAAAAAAATAAGGAACCACCAATATAATGTTTCTTTTTAAGAACAATTTTCAAATTCCATCAGGAAATAATAGAAATATGTTCCATACCTTCAGTATATATTCCCAACACCTACTCTGGACCAGTGTCTCAAATTCTAGTTGCAAACAGACCAAAGGCT